AGCACTGTTTTGCAGATTTTAGTAGAACATGAATAATTCATAGCTGATGCATTTTCAGTTTTGGCCATCAGGCTGTTTTTATCCAGAAGTCACTTACACGTGTCTTGCTACAAATCTGTGAGGTTCATGCTATGCCCCTGTACTCTCTGGATGTGTGGCACACTTGAGGGGCTGAGGCAGGGATAGCAAGTCAGAAGCAGAGCTGGAGGTAGATCTCTTTCATGAGGTAGGGTAGGAATCTTGCCTGTCCTCATTCCAACAGCAGTCAATAGTTTTATGGGCCAAACCAATACAGTGGTAGACAATGTGCCTCTGAACAGTTTAAACATTATCTGGCTTTTACTCAGACTCCTGAGGGGGAAGAAACAAATCTGGCAGCTCATAAAGTCAAATACAGTCCAGTTGCTAAGGTAACCCAGCTGATAAGAACAGTATATCAATAGACAACAACAGGCACAAGATTCACCTGCCTTTAGATTTCCCCACCCCACCAAATGCAGAGCAGAATCAAAGCAATAGGGAGGGTGGGGCTCTGCAGAGAAATAGCAGTGCTCATCCTTCTAATCTGCTTGTACGAATGGGATAGGTCTGCCCCAGACACGCAAAGAATGAACCTGGAACCTAATGGGTGCCAACTGCAACAGGACAGGGAGCCCTTGGGGAGTCCAGCTGCACCTACCACTGCTCTCTGGCACCTTGCCTTTCACACCTCTGCGGTCATTTGGTTAGTATCTGTACTGGGCACTGCTTCAGTAAAGTTGTATCTGTATCCCCAAGTTTCAGGGCCAGTGGTTGCTGTGCATTAGTGAACAAGCCTTTCAGTCCCAGAGCACTAGTACAGAAAAAGACACTGGGAGATGGAAATCTCAGGAACCTGCTCAGCAATGTATTTCCCCTCACAAGAAACATCCAGAATTGTATTAGTTAGTTTTAAGTAACTGAATCAAAAGTGAGGTAATACCAGCAGGCCATTGGATTAACTTGGATGTTCCTAAGCCAACCTCTTTGTGATGAAAGTTAGGATGAAACCAACCCTGTTGTAGTCAGATAATCCCACAACTGCCTCTTGCAGGGATTCCTGTGTCTTCCTTTAAGCAATTGACAGGTTTCTGGTGAGATCTAATATGTCAGTTCTGGTGAGATCTAATATGTCAGTTCCAATTTTCCTGCATGCTAACAAGCTGAGGTGGATATGGATATCTGAAAAAAAAAGGACATTTTTGAACACCTAAATAAAGTTTTGTGGTGAAAACTTGCCCTGGTTGAAGTCAACGGCAGAGCTCCCAAGGACAGCCAGGGGGACAGAACTTCAGGATGGCTGCAGGAAGGGTTTCTGGTGGCTGTGGTTCCACCAGGGCTGCAGTGCATGCCTCAGCCATGACGCACTACAAAAGCCTGTCAACACAATAACCCTTGCCTCTCCTTGTACTTTGGGGAAGTACCTTTAATGAGATATCAAAGTCCTAAAATGTTTGATAACAAAACCCTCCCAGTCAGAGGTGTATGGGGAGTGGAGTTTCCATTCTGCAGAAGAGCTAATTTCAGGTGCCTCTCTTGATTGAAACTGTAACAGTATTTAAAAAAAAAAAAAAAAAAAGTTTTTTGTTTTCTTGGAGACTATTTGGGGGGAACCAAGATGGACTATTTAAAAAATTCAGAGCTAAAAGTAAGCCAGATAGACTGCCTGCTTGCTAGAGTCCAGGTTAGGAGCTGACTACCAACAAACACTGTTGCTGCTTTGAATTAGCAGTTCCAGTGGGGAAAACTGTCCATTACACCACACTGTGAAACTCCTCTTCTGAGGTATTTTTAATATTTTAAGTGCTGTCATAGCTAGATGACTATTGATGCCTGAGTTAGTTAGCTTAACCCTCACCTGGTGTATTTACAGGCGATGCAAGTCTCCCTTTGGATCACCCCATCCTCAGGTTCTGACAAAGTTACGGAAAAGACTCGTGCATACTTTGTTGAGAAGATAACTAAACATAATTTTTAAAATCAACTCTAGCCACTGATGAATAATATATGGGGCCTTAATGAGTAACATAAAGATGCTTTATGCCTCTTGCTTTGCTAGGAAAGTGTAAAATGGCCTCAGATGAAAAGAGAATAAGACCTTCAACTTGAAATTCTTTGCTGTAAAACGGAAAGTGCTTTACCAGTAAAATTAATATTTTGAGAAACGATATTACATAAAAAGGTACGAAAGATTAGTCAGCCAGTGAGTAGAGGTCATTATTTTGTCTGACAGGAAGTCCAGAGCTCTATTGATCAACCTCCTGAAAACAGAGTATTTGTGGATAGCAGCAAGCAAAAACACTGTTTTATTCCTCAGCACCAAATAATTGCATGCTGCATTTAAAAACAGACTCTATCTACAAGTAAACGGGTTTATGAGGCTATGAGGTACCTTAAGCCCAGGAAGAATACCTTTTACAGTTTAAAATATCTGAGCTGGGAATAAAACATGTTTTGGAATTCAGCCCAATGTTTTAGTCAGCAGTCCATGGGCCTTCCGTGGTAGCTGCTCCTCATCGCTATCTCCCCTGAAAATCATCTGCATGCAAATGGTTAAGCCAGTAGAAAGTCAAGGCTCTCTTCTCACCAGTGTAAACAGGTAAGTACTTAGCTCTGGCGCTGGACTATTGGTAAATCTTTTCATTACCCAGCCCATCAGCCTTCCTCATCCATAAAATGGAAATAATGCCATCGATTTTTAAAAAGATCTTTTTAACAATACATCTGTATTGATATATAATTGCAGTTTAAGAGACCAATGTTATAATTTTCATGGTCTCTCTCAAAACAAAGTGGCAAGCTCTGGTTGGTCAAAAGCCTCCATGTTAACTATAGCAGTGTCAGTGAAGATAAGGGCACTCAGGTGGAAAATAGATTTATTCTGATATAAAAAGAAATGCTCTTAAAATGAAATCACTTAATGGCAAGAGTTCTAAATTGAAGGCTGTGAGATGGGAGGGAAGCAGGTAGAAAAGGTGTGTACTTTCTTTCAGGTGGGGCCTAAGTATGCTGACATTGAGTTCAATAGCACCGATGAAGTTGACTTCAGGTATGAAACATGGGCTGCCTACATTTTTGGTGGTAATCTGGCTTTTGTCACCTTTAAATTGTCTGTGAGCCCTTTATAGGGTCCAGCTACAGTTCAGGAGCCATTACAACCCAGCCAGAATACCACAAGCTTGTGCCTGTAGGCTTGTTAGCATTTACAATTAGAGGACATGGGGTACTGATGGAAGCACACTGGCAAATTTATCAGTAGAAATCTAAGATGCTAGCAACTGCTAGCTATGTAATCCCCAACCCTTGGTCATAAAGCACTGCCCTTATCTGAACTGAATGCTTGAGTACACCTCAGGTCTTTTTGGCATGAAATACTTCACCAGCTCTTTAAGACATGGCATCCATGCTGGTGAGTCTAAGCAAAGCCACAAGACTGCAAGTGAAAGCAGCTAAGCATGCAAATATAGCCTGTGTATAACACTTTAAATTGCTACACATATTTGCCAAGCAACATGTGTTAGGCCCAAATATCCCCGGGCTTGGACTCTGTTGCCCTGCAAACAACATAGGGATGGAAAGGATGTGGGAGTACTAGTTACAGAGCTGGTGCCACTGGACCCAGTACACAATGTGCAGAAACCAAAGATTCCCAATTATGTAAGAAAACTCCTGGGTTTAAAATAAAAAATTACACCACCACCCACTCCCCATATTTTTTCTTATATTCTTTTCAGTTTAGGCTTCATTCTTAGAGAACGCTTCCTTCTTAAAAGTAAAAAAATAACACCCCCCCAATCTTCCAATAGCACTTTATGGAAAGGAAATCTCCAGTGATGCAACCAGTAGGGTATCTTCTCTGTCGTAACATTAAGTATATTTCTTAACTTGCTGAGAATAGCGTGGGTAATAAAAATCAAAAGGAGAGAGACAAATGTCAGCCAGGCAAAAATGTCAAAAGATTAATTTCTGTAACCCATCTCTCTATTACGTGAAATAGAGAGCCCTTATTGTGCTTGATGTTTGACTAGATGGTGAGATATGTACCTTTTGTATTTAAAGTGGTAAGTCTTAAGAAAATAGAACATCTTCCTTATTAAAGCTGAGGCACCACCACATTTGTAACAAATTTAAGGCATGTAAAGACAGAAAATAGCAAGGTGATTCAAAATGTACCTCTGTGCACATGTGTAAATACCCCACAGGAGCTGGGTATCATGTTAGCTCGCTGCCGACATAAATGCATGGAATACTTTTGGGCGTAGTATGTATTTACATCTCTCAAAAGAAATTGGTTACTCGGGCATTCAGCATATTTCTGAAGTGGTTGGATTCCCCTTCCCCCTCCCTATCTATTTACAGTTCCCTTTCAAGTACAAAAAACAGTTTCTGTAACCTCAGCTTCCTGATTCAGCTGTTGTGATGTCAGTTATTTACGATAACAAAAGTGAGACAATGCTTGTGGTTTGTGTGGGACAAAGACAACCTTGTTTCTGTAAAAAGGGACAATCCTAGTGTGAGAAGCACAGGAAATCTATGAAGTAGGACTCCGAGGTGATATTTCATTAGTCCTACCATCTTCATAATAGCAGGCTTGACGCTGCATCATTGCAAAGGCCACTGACAGAAGGTTTTTTCATTTCATAGGACTGGACACTAATGTGAATGCAACTCTGGGTTGCAGGACAAGGCTTTGGAGATAGGCATCTTGGGAAACAAATGGACTGCTAGTGGGTAGAGAGGCAGTGAGTGTCAGGACACAAATGTTTCAATACCGATTACTCATTCTGTGGTCACAAGCAAGTCACTCTGTACCTTTGCTTACCTGCCATGAAACTGGTTTAATCATATTTAACTGTCTAAACCACAGATGTGGTGAAACTTGCAGAATGCCAGTAAACTCTTGAGGTCAGAGTAGCACAAGGAAACGAGACGCTCTTAATACTGAGCGTCAACTTTAGTGTAGCCTAGAGAATGTCACTTACCTGCTATTCTTCCAATTGGCATTGCATGATCCTCAGGAGGGGATACAGACACCATGATGTGGTTCATATAAGCTAACTCTTCTCGGTGGGACAGGTTGATCGGCTTTACCTCCCTGTGCAGCCCATCCTCAGACAACCTTGGTGGTTTGAAATCGGAGTGCCTGGGGTTCAGTATCAAAGGATGCATGATAGGGCTGGGCATCAGCTGGATGACCCTGGTGTTCTCCTGGCGAGGGCTGGAGGGCTTCTGGAGCACCTCCGAAGGAGGCGGGCAGTGGTTGTTTTCTATTGGGGACACTGAGAGAGGATAGGGCTCCTGGTGGTTGTTCTCTTGCTGATGCCTTGACCCCGGCACCCTGTCAGCCGGGGAGAGGCGACGGATAGTGTTGTCCATGGGGGACTTCAGTGGCCGCTGATCGGGATCTGGTGATGGACGGTGGTTGTTGGTGATGGGTGATCTAGAACGATGCAACAGTTCAATGGTTGGGGGGTTGTGATGGACTGTTTCTGTGGATGGTCTTGAAGGTCTCTGGACAAAACTATCTGTGGAGAAAAAAAACCCAAAAATACAGATTGTCTATATTGTGATCAAGGAGTAGGATCTAACTGCCAAACTGTTAGCTGGGCTTACTGGGTACTGCTGTAAGCTTCAAAATGTTTTTATTTGTGTGACCTACAGATGCCCAGAAAAATGTCATATAAATGCAGATAGTTATTACTACACAGAATGAAACCAGTACCATGAATCTCCCTCCATCATCATGTAATGGTAGTTCCTCGGGAAATCTGCTAAAGAGAAGTTCCATTTTGAGAAGCTGACTGGAACACATGTGAGGAAAGTAAGATCTGATTCAGCTGTACTGCGTTCCTGTGCAAATGCTTTGAAACTTATCTCCCGCCATTCATGTCTCTACATGTGGTTCCTGTTACTGTACCATGATGAGCACTGTAAGGGAGAGGGCAGACATAAAAAGGGAAAATGTCTCCAGGAAAATATTGGGTAGTAAGTTTTAGATGGTAGAGGTCATCTCTACCTTAGGTCAAGGTAGAGAACACCTTAGTCTGAAATACAGACTGGGTTATCTAAAAAAACCCACTGGTAGGAAGCTCTTTGTGAAACACTAGCTAAATTTTATCCCTGCCTTGATTTTAAGAGCATGTAATATCTTCATAAGGATATTTTCACCTTGTTTTATTTAGTCTGTGCTCTCTACTTATGGGTTGTCCCATATAAGCACTTACATTTCTTCAGCACGAGGACTTCTAGCATCACTTTTGCATGAGCATACTTCCACAGCTGCGATCCTTAACAGTAGGGGAGAGATAAATCATGGCTCTAGGTCCATGTCTTTACGTACTAACAACCTTCTCACAAAATGAAATGCTTGACATAAACAGTGCAAACTTTCAGCTTAGCTAAGGCCATAAATTTTGACTTGGGAAATTACTGACAAAGAGGAAAACACCACCAGAGCACAGTGACTAACAGGTTTTTATCTGAAAAACAAAGATCAAATTTCAGTGCTGTTTGTCAAAAGCCTTGGATGATAAGAGGAGGAAACTGCTGGGTACATGTCAACAACTGAAACAAGTAGCTGCCCATTTGTGGCTGCCTGTTTGTTCACTCCATTTGCACCGATCCTCTTCAAAGAGTCTCTTGCTTTCTTGTCGAGGCAGTGACACTCATTGAAGACCCTGTCGAGGTGAAGACCCAGGGGCTCCCACTGCCCTGGAACCATGGCAGGCATCAGGAGAGGGATCAGCACTTACCCAGGGAAAGTCCTGAACAGGAAAAGCTCTAATCCTGAGAAAATGTAGTGCCAGGCAGTGACATAGCACCCACCCTTTTGCCTACTCAATGGGCTTTTCATCTACACAAGGACACTATAGTCTACAGGAAACCCTGAAATTTTAGGCAGAAACTACATGGCTCCAGAACACTTATTTCACACATTTGTGGTCCCGGACAAGAAAAATACATTTGTAGAGCTATTTAAGGTACTCACAATGAAAGAGCTGGAGGACATGAAACTCCAGAGCTATATATTGTTCTTGTTTAAACCTAAACAGCTCTAAATACAATGTGGCCAGCTAATGTGGGATAGCCCAAATGATGTGAAGATCAAAGAAGTATTAATTCCTACCTCTGTGGCTGTCTTGTCTTGATGTCTCACTTCTTTGCCACAATAGAAAGAAAAGCAACCCCCCAATTTTACCATCCGCCCCATCACTGTACATTCAAATAGACCAGAATATTGTATTGGTTGTCCTACTTACTTAAAGTGCCTTCGCTGTGGGGAGCAGCTATCTTGAAAGCAGAAAGGAATGCATTGCTGTGCTTTCCACCAAGCTCTCTGCAAAGATTAGCTGTTTCTGACAAGCTCCAAACAGAAGCAGACCTATCTGCTCCCAAACTATGGTCATCCTGAACCAGGATGGGGTGGAGAGAAGGTAGGGACCAAGGAACTCTTTAAACAGCAGCAAGAGGAAAAAAACACAAATGGATACACACCAGTGTTCACTTTCCTCCAAGATCTTTCTTTTTAAATGCTCAACTAAAGAATCCCCTCACGGCCGAAGCTGCTGTTTACCATAAAACAATTCACACTCAGCTCCAAGCAGTTCACTGGCACGAATGACCCTGAACAGAATAAAATCCTGATCACATTCATTCCTTGGCACATCTGATGACTGTAAGTTGAGCACATATGGTATATCATTTCCTGCAGGAATAGACTCTCTCATCAGTCTGGCTCTTCATTCTGAGTGACCCACACTCTTTTCTTGAAGGGAAAGCTGTGCAAGGGAATTCAGCTCCCAGGAAAATTGCTGACCTATGTGATCCATCTAGGGATGGGTGGGGCTGCACTCACTTTGGGAATGAGCAATTGCTGGCGTGACAATCCCAAAGATTGGCACCCTTTGCTTACCCATAAAAGAAGAGCAGGGAATGACAGTATAAGCTTCTTGTATGGCATCCCATCAGATGACTCAGTGCTGAGTCAGAAGGACCACAAATTCACTCTCCATTGCTCATCCCTCTACAGGGACAGACAGATGCCCACAGGGCAGATTCCAAGCCAATGCCAATGCATCTTGGAGATATCATGAACTGTCATCTGATTTCAAATGGTCAAACCCACTTTACTTAAGTTAGAAAAAAGCCACTCGATGTAAATCTTGGTCTCACTGGATTCTGTTAAAATTAAAGCATTTAGAAACAGGATCATAAGCATATAATCTATAAGGAAATGGGCAAAAGAGCCAGTAGAAGAAAATGGAAAAAGATCACTGGAGTAAGAAGGGATTTAAAAAAACATCCATCACCTATGAAGTTTTAACCACTCAAAATTCTGCCAAACACTTGACCCCTCTGTTACAGTTTGTGAGTTTGGCAGGGTAAGTTCTGCTTCTCACATTCATTCTCCTTTTTTACTAAGCTGCATTCTGCTGAGGGAAAACGGTAAACTTAATTGTGCTAGTTTCTCCCAAGTGACTCTGTGAAACAGGAAGAAGAAAGAAGGAATGTCAAAATGCAGAAATAAATAAATACACCTGCCTATAAATTCTTGGCGTAAATATTTTCCAATTGGTCAGTCTTGTGGCAGGCAAGCTGTAGTTTCTTTTTTTTGTTTTGAAGTCCCTCTCACAGCAAAACAAGAACTAATTTTTGTCATTATAAAGAAAAGTTTTAAGTAACAGCACAGAGTTCTGTACGGGCAAACATAGTGGTACTATCAGCAGCCAGAGTATTGTGAGGAAGAAATCAAAGTTGTTTCTTAATCATCCTGTGCTCTGACAAAAGTTAGATGAGATTGCAAAGGACTTATGTTTTAAGTGACACACATGAAAGGCCAACTTAACATCCCTGTCAAATCCTCTCTAGACTGAAAGTTGTTCCATATCTTTAATGTAGGGGTGTCTGAGAGGGCTGCTAGTATTTCTGTTTGAAGTTTAGAAAGGGAACACTTGTGGGTGAATGCCAAGCTTCAGGAAAAAATGGAGATTTTTATAATGGTCTTTGGAAAGTGCCTATCTTAATACACTAGGTAACTGTCTCTTGCACAATTCTGCCAATTCAACCTCATCCTGACCTGCAGCACCCTCTTCTAATGTGAAATATTAACACAGCTGTGTGGAAACACTTTGGAGTGTCCTTATGCCACCTGCTGCTGTCCTGCTCTTGGCTTAGTCTCAGAGTTTTGCTGGTGCCATTTGATTCTGGCTTGCTCAGGCTGGCCATGGGCAACTTGTACAGGTCTGACAGTATCCCTGGATCTTCTCTTGCAATCCCACATTGAATCTTGAAATAGTTTGTGCATCTTTTCTCCGGTTAGCAGAGACTAGGGTGATATCCTAACTCACTTCTGTTCTCTTCTCCTGTTTACTTAAAAAAGGAATAACACTACTTTTTCCTAGGGTTTTTTTTTTTTTAATTGAAAAAGTGAATTCTACCTGCTGCTTTCATGGAAAGGACTTTTCAAAAGACTTAGGCTTTATATTTTTCTGGTACCCAAAAAAACCAAGAAGCCCTTTAGTATGTATATTTTTAAAGAAAATAAAACTTCCATTTTCCATTGAAGGAAGCACACATACATTTTGATCTGCACTAATAATGAGCAGAAGCAGCCCAAATCTGCAATTCCACAAACATATCTATTCTTTCTTCACCGCCTCTAACGGCCATGGTACGTGTGGACACTATTAGAAGGCTAACTAATAACCTAATCAAGTAATTCTGATAGTAACAACAAGACAAAACCTGCAGAAAAATCTTCAATCAACATGAGTTACTCCATTAGCAAAGAAGCTGACCAACAAGATGGGCTCAGTGCTAGGAACTCTGACATGATGCGATGACAGATTGTCAGTTGAAGTGACTTTGAGTTACATGTTCCTCTCTGAGGCTGCCTTCTCCCTTGCTCTGCAAACAGTTGCATCTATTCGCATCTCCAGGATACAAAAAGTCCATGAAGCATCTTTGTCTACCTAATTGGGAGTGAGGAAAAATGAATCAATGAGGTCAATAAAACTTTCTGGTATTTTTGTAATCTGCATCTGGTGTAGCTTTCAAGCAGGCTTTGGAAACAGGACAAAATAATAGAAGATAAATGGAGGGTGCACAGTGACTCCCTAGACCAGTTGATTGTTCTAAAGCTGTGGAGACAAAGGGAGGACAGTAGCTTTACTTAAGTAACTTTGGAGCAAGAAAGTGACATAATTCCTCATAGCCTTGCCCTACTCGCCTCTATAATGGCAGCTCCCATAAGAATGAGACAGAGTTACCTTCATCATGATTCTGGTGTAATATGACCTCTGGCTGAGCATGGATAGAGTTCCCAGGGTGGAAGAAAGGTGTGAAGAGCATACGAGCTTTCCTTTGCTTCAGGATATGCTGAAGGAGTTCATACAAAACATCACCTGAAAGACAAACAACAGGAAAAAGGAAATGAAAACCTGCTTACTGCTGAGAAGACTCATTTAGCCATCTGATGCATGAATTCATGGCTCCTGGGTGCTATTTTCAGACCCAAAAATGCTTGCAGTAAAATCCTACATTTAATTGTTTTGCAAGGTTCTTCCCTGAAAGGAAAAAAAAGAAAAAGAAAAGCTGCACATCATGCCTCTGTGGTGATTGTGGAAAAATGGGAGAATAACAAAACATGGCTTTTATTATCCCAACACAGAAATTTTTTCAGGCTACATCACTGCCCATCCAAGAGCTCCAAACTTTTACATGCAGTAGTTAGTTCAGTGTCCCACCTTCTCTCATCACAGCCTCAGTTTTTTAGATAGATACCTTGGGACACAGAATTCTTAAATGTAGAGGCTGTGATTTATGCAGTGAACTGCTGGGAGCAAAGACGGTGATCGTCTTTAATTACTGAACAACTTAGGCTTTATAGGGTGAGGAGATAGAAGATGTTGTAAAGCCTCTTCATACAACACCAGTGTCTCAAGGCCAGAGGCAGTGTGCTGCTAAGATACTCCATTCTAGGAGGAAGAACTCTCACTTTGAAAGGTTACTTTGAGATGGACTCAAAGACTTGAAAAGAATTGAGAGATTTAACTATCCTGAACACCCTTGCTATGGTGACAACTCCTGGAGACACTCAAGTGCTACAGGTACCTTAGGAACTTCTGTATGTCCCTCTTGGCGTCATGGGTTGGACTCCTGAAAAGCCCAAATGGGATCCCAAAGCCAGTTATTTCTAGCTACTAGAATCTATATGGAGCTCACTGCAACAGGCACTACTAGACCATGGATATGATGAAGACTAAGGAACAAAACGCAGCGGACTTGGTGCTCTGTATGGGAAAATACAGTCTGTTAGTTGCTATTGTATTGACACAGAAACGTCTGCAGCAAATTGCACCGCACCAAGCTGACATGTTCTTGTGTGAATTGATCCAGATGCTTTTTTCTGGGATGCAGGCAGGCTGTTCCTCACTCCCTGCCCCCCCCCCCCCTCGCCAATTCCCTGGCACCAGAATTGTTCTATCTTTCCTCAGTGGAATATATCACCGTAATATTTAGGAGACCAATGGACTAACTGCTTATTTTGTGTCTTTTTATGTATTACATCTTGTACTGATGCCCCTCCTCCAACAATATCTACATGAAACACCTAGGTACTTACACATTTTGTCTGATGTAACTGGTGGGACATTTCAAAGTGAAAATGTACAACACAGGGTAGGAAGTCTCTTGACTTTTAATTCTGCTTGCTCTTTTCTGTTTGTCACTGCTCATATTACAGAGGAACAGGCTAAAGTAATAACATATTATCTGAAAAGGAACTTAGTGAAGTTTCACTTAGGAAACCTTGGATTTTCTGGGATAGTTTTCTCAAGTGTGTGAGTTTTTTTAGTAGTTGCTTCTATGAGATTGTAAGCTGTGTGCCATTTGTTCCTTGTCTCTATAAACTGCCAATGCTCTATTTGTAGGCAAGTTTAGTGTCTTAGCGTGAAACAGTTAAAACCATCCTGCTTTCCATAGTTCAGCTTCCTTTATTTTTAGCATCTTGGCTGCTTTTACTGTCTCAGCAGTGACTTTAGGGCATTTTTAAAAGGCGATTGCAATACCTGAAAATCTAATTAAAAACAAAGCCTCGAGAACCAAGCTACGTTTTCCATGTTTAGTACACGAAAGGCTAAAAAGTGATTTTACCACATAATTTGCATCTTTGAATGCAACAGTGGCACAATCACAATTAGTGCTGTAACATTCCAAGCAATAAGTAGCAAATTTGTACCTCTTTTGATTTGGCCTGGCAGACTAGCGAAAACGTCCATGAAGCTGGCCGTCTTTTTTTTACCGAACAAAACAGTTATGCTTCTGCACCACCCAGATGCAGTAATGGTAGTTAAGAAGGTGAAAAATATTTTTCACTCTCCCTCTCCTCTGCTGCCTCCCTTCCCTGGCCAGCCCTAAACAGGAGACTAGCTGTGGGGCTGTGAGCCCACTTTGTTGCTAGGACCTGTGGTGGGGAGTGGATGTGGTTCACCTGGTTTAACCATGAGGGGAAAGTATACAGATTTTATGTAGCTACACTCTTGAAAAACTTAATGCCTCTATGGCAAGCATTATTTCATAGGTCTTAAATTTCACGTATAATTAATTTCTGGGAAACGTTGAGGCAATGGGCCTTTACTTACAGGCACCTAAATTTTTAGGGACTGACTCAGATATCCTCTAAAAGGTTTATTATCAGTGGGCAATACCTGTAGAGAAGGAGAGAAAAAGTAAGGGAGGCGGCCTTTAGTTTGGTTATTTTATTCCAAATCTAGGTAAATAAGAGCTTAACCTCCTGCATAAAGTGAGGATTTGCAAGCCGGAGGCTCTTCTCTGCAAATGCTCTATCTCCAGCCTACAAACTTGTTAATCCTACTCATTTCAAGTGCCCTCGCTGCACACAGGGGAAGAGCAGGGGCATAACTTGTAGGCAGCAAGGCATTGATGATAAGAGGAGTTGCAGACAAGACTCAAAGGTGTCCTTACAGTCCTTGCCCACATCTCCACTTTCAATACTCCCTTTGCCTTAAGTAGGGCTAATTTTTAAATTAAGTTTATTCAGTGGTGTACTAGAATTAAAAAAACAGACATTTCTAGGCATCAGTTTTCACTACTGTATTATAATGGCAAGAGACATTAATGGTTGGCATCCCCTTCCATACAAAATTACTCCTGGATTTGAAGCACATGCTTAAAAAACTTCATATATACTAAACATAAGCCACAGTTTGTGAGGCAAATTCTGCAGGAGGATGGTTGTGGGAGTGCATTCAAGCGAGTTGCCAAGCAGCTTGATGCAGAATTAGTGCCATGGGTTGCTTATCAGCTGGATCCAAGCAGCACCAGTGGTACTTCTGCACCTAGTAAGCCTTGCACTGGAAGCCGCCTAACAGCAGTTCTGTCACCTCTTAGTTCAAATTCTTTGATCACCTATAAAGACTGAATTATGAGCCTTTATATTTAACAGAAGTACCTTGTATGGTCAGAAAAGAAAAGCTCACAACTCGTATTTAGAACCACTAACTCACATTTAGTTAAACCTGTCTGACAAAGGAGGGCAGAGGCTTACTCCAACTGTAAAACTGGAGCACACAGACCGCAGGGGATATAAATATAGGCAGGCAACATACACATTTGCAAATCTTCTTTGTGAACAAATGAAGACATAATTTGAGCAATAGGCAGACTGATTCACACACCTGTCTTTGCTGTGCCTTGGGCTGGACTCCAGCACGTGAGAGAATACAGTAAAGTAAAGCAAAGCCCACAGGGGCTGTAAAATAGAGGAAAGGTCCCCCAGGGAGGAGTTTTGCAGTCACTTTTAGCAGCATGTCAGCCAAGCCAACTGTGAGGCAGAATGCTAATATGGGCTTCTTAAGAGGCTGGAGCACTTGATTAACTTGCCGCTGGAGTTGGGTCTATGAAAAGATAAGCCTTTATAGGGAAGAGCTGGAAGTCATAAAGTGCTGCCAGAGAAGCTTGCTTTCTGGGAGTTCTGCAGGGAGTTTTAACTAGAAACAGGTTGAACGTTTGGGTTGGGTTTGGATTTGCATTCAAATTTGCCTACAACTCAGGTGTATCAGGATTTCTACTCCCTCCTCGCCCTTTTTGTCCTTGCCTCATACCAATGTCTCTGTCCTCCCTCTCTTCTCCTTGCAAAGTCCACCCCAACAAATGCGACTATTTCCTCCTCTGACCGTCTCCAGATTTCACTGCAGCTCCCTCTCTCTTTTCAGTCACAGCTTCTGTAAGCAATCCTCACCTGAATGAGGAGACCTGTATCGAAAGTCCTCTTTGGTCAGGAGCAGCAGAGCCTTGCCGTTCATCTCAAAAGTGTTGCTCTCAATCGGCCTCAAGGAAAACTCCTTCTCCGCCCACCTGAGCCACTGTGCCACATCATCCCTGCTCCAGTAAACGGGCTGCAAACCTGTGGCAGGAAGAGATGATGATCGCATTACCAAATTGAGACAAGGCATGGGAATACAGGCAAACATCAATGAATCCCCCTTTCTCCCCACATCATAATGTGCAAAGTCTCAGGGGAGGGTGTAGGAGAGGAATGTCACGTTGATGCAGAATTACTCTAAGCACTGGACTGTGAAATACTTCATTAGTTCAGGCACCTTGGTTTATCTGTGACATCTTGAGAAACAAGAACTGCCTCAGCATCCTGTAAAAAGCTTCTAGGATATTATTTCATTCCAGGTTTCCACTGTGAAATGGGATTTTCCTCCAGCTGCTTCTTCTGAGGTGCAGAGCTGGCAGGAGGCAAAGTCCTTGCCCCATCCTTCCCAGTGTGTATCGTTTCATACAAGAGAGGCGTGCTCTCTCTTCATACCCCTTGTAAAGTCATCGATCAAGAATAATGAAAAGTAGTCAGGTGCAAGAGAGCTATGGCCAAACTTCCCTCTAGGTGGCTGAGGTCTGTAAAGAAGGGCTGCTTCACACAGCCACTGTAGCACTGTGTCTGTAAGCAGTTATCAGTGCAGGTAAGGTTGAGAACGGTGTAAGCAGACTGGCCCATCCCTCCTGCAGATGCCGTTACGCTAGCAGATGCTATTCCCACACTGGGGAGGAAAATAAACGCTGAGGCTGGGGCACTTTTAGCACTGCTTTAGCCTGTGTTTCCTGTCTAGCGATAAAATATTACCAACGTCACTCTGTCCGTATAAGGGTGGTATGCCATTTTACAGTGACGTAGCAGGTATGTTCGGTTTGGGCACAGATTTCCCAGGGCTCCAAGAAGAATCTGGCAGTCCCTTTCTCCCAGCCAGTTCGTACAGCATATACAGCCCCGACTACTGTGTTTACTCACAGGAGCCCAACCAAGTTACCATGAAAGTCAAAGACCTTTTGCCCGCTACCTTTACTGGGCCCAGGCAGAGAGGCTTGGGAGGTGTGACAATTCAGTATCTGTTCTACAAAAAAATTTAAAATAGCTTCCTTTCCCTGGAGAGAAGGCAGCACAGTGAAGAGCTGTTTATACCCAGGTAGAGAGATTATCTCCAATCCACTGGGAGATAAAAGGTTTCTTTCCTTTCCCCCTTTTCCCAGACTCATTGTTTGACTTGCTACAATGTGCTGCGTAGAACTGAAAGCTTCACACTGTGCATAGGAACATGAAATTTGCCGTATCTGATGAGATCTCTGGTACACAGCCTCTGGCAGGAGCTAATACCTTATGCTTCAGAGGAAGACGAACCTCCCTTCCTCATATTGCACCTGGCTGATTGTACGCTGCGCATGGGAAGAAATTTCCTTCCTGGCACACCATTCTCTGAGATCTGATTACCCTGCTCCTACCAAGCACTAAAAGAAACCTGGGAGAGTTGCACCGCTCTTACTTTGTTTTGGTTTTTACGCCTTTAACAGATAGGCAACCTCTTTTTCTGTTTTAGCAAGAGGTCACATGCAGTGAATTGCATTCTTCTGCTATGCCAGATTCCCAGACAGCAGCTTTGGAAAGTCCCAGAGCCACAGCTGCATACAGAACTGAACCTCAGTCGGAAAAGGAATAGGGATTGAGCCTGAGAAAGGGTCAGAGCTGACCTAAGGAAGGGACGTCTGCATGGCAGCAGCAGGAATTTCCATCGGCTTTCAACTGCCCCTGTAGCACTGTATTATGTGCCATACAGAAACAAGAAGTAGCATTTATTTATTTATGAAGGACTTAAATTCTCTTCCCCCCTATTGAATTAGGGTCTGATTACTGGGGTCAGAGTTTTCTGTAGGACCTTTCTTTTTGAAGGGACTGGGGTGAGGTGCAGGTCTGCTCAGAGACATGCAAACCATCATCTGAAATGCCAGTGAGGTTCATCTTTTGCTGAATACATGCTTATTTCTGCAGAAAACACACTCCAGATCCCAGGCCGCTGCTGAGCAGCATACACATTGACTGAAGCTAAAAGAGAAAGAAGTCAGACTTGATGCAGCCAGACCACAACTTATGAAAGCGTTTAAAAGACCATCTGAAGAGTGCTTGAAATGCTCATGCATGGTTTCTTTTGCCTCCCCCTTAGCCATGCCGTGCAAGTAATAAATTCCCCAAAAGACCACTGTCATGTGGAAATCTAACTGGACTTCTGATGTGCACTTCACAAGATGAGGCACGAAACAAAACAAAACATCACTGGGGAAAATCAGACCAATGTGGACTGAGCTACATGATAACTTCATATGATGTGCATGCTCCCTCATAGACAACAACATAATAAATAAGTCACCCTCTGTACAAACATAGATCAAAGTTTCCCATGTGCTGGTAACAGTGTATTTTTGCCTTTCATTCAACTAATATTAAAGTACCATGTCTAAAGAGAGGTTTAGATTGATCGGTGCTGGACTCAGAACAGCCAAACAAGCTACACAGACTGGAAGAAGCCACATGTGCTGTGCTGGCAACTCGGGAACAGATCCAACACTTTACACTGCAAATCAGGTTTCTGCTGGGATTCAGCAGCATCTCCAAAGCTTGTGAGAAAAGCCTCAAGTAGTATGACCTAGGACCACATGGCTTCTAGTTACTGAGAATCAGCAAGCAGCCCTTCTAATTCAGTTTGGCTATCGCTAAGAGCGGGTGGACGCACCACATCTCTCCACCCATGGGGTGATACCGTAATTAAATACTTACATTGTGTTTGAAAGATATAAAGTGCCATAAAACACTTTAACTACTTTTTCCCTAGATGGATTGCCTCTTCTCTCATTTCCCTCTCTCCCTGCCCTGCTGCTTTCCTGGGAAGTTAGTTTCTCCAGAAAATCCACTTTAGTTGCCTGCCTCCACTGCATGCCCATTTGCTTTGTGAGGCTGAACCAGTTCAGTCGCAGGAGGCTTTTTTGAGAGTGCAGACCGGTGTTGCTGAAAATGCTTCAGAAACCGCCATTCAAAAAGTAATCATGTGCAGTACAGCATTTACTAAACTTGTATCCCACCTTCTCTGCCCTTTCTTAAAAAGAAGCAGTTGGCTTTGTGAAAACAAGGGCATGAGAGGGTTGGCTTTGCAGCGGAAGAGATTTTATGGCACAGCATACATAGTTATCAGTAGGTCCTGAAAATGCTTTCCTATACTCTCCATGAAAGAAAAACTAATCCCGCTTATACTATTTTTCTTTTTTGGATGCTGTTTCTTATTTTCCCCTCTCCATCTTCTCTTTTACTGTCATGCCCACAGTGAAGGAAAATGGGCTCTTTTTATCTCTCCAGTTTTATTCTCTGTGAAAGCTAACAATATTGTCTTCAACTAACAAAGATATTTACCAAGCAGAATAAAGTGAGGAAAACGAGTGCTGTGTTACAAAATGAGGACCGAGTTTTGCCGGCTGAACTGACTGTTGAAATCAGCTGTTGAAATCAGTGGGAAGGCTTTGCTGCTTTCAGTAGGTGTGGATCAGACACAGGGGATGCTGCCTTCCTCGCAGTCTGCCCTCTTGGTGGCCAGCGTCACCACGGGCTTCAGAGGGTGAATTTTGACCTGGGAGTCAGACCTGGCCCTGTTCCCATCTGTGCCATTGCTTCGCTGGCTGAAACCTGGCAAGCATTCCCAACCTTGGTCTCCCTATCTGCAGAGTGTAAAAATAAAGAACAACAAAAACTTCTTGAACTCAACAGCTGAAAGCAGGTTAGACAAAGCCATGTAAACCATCAGAATCCGGCTCTGCGAGATCCCAGCGTATTCTCTAATCTGTCTTCTGTCAGGTTCCAAGTATCACCACCAGCAGAGTAAAATACAATCATTTATAGACACTTTTATAATCTGACAGCTTCACATGCATTAAACAGGGAGCAAATTCATGCTCACTGTACTAACGCTGCAGGCTGGTGCACTGTTGTCTTAATAGATTATCTACTTCTGTTGCTTATTCCTCACCTGAAGTCCTGTTTCTAACACCTGTTACACTAGCTACCTTATAAATGGTGAGAGCGATCAATTCTCATGCTCCAGGGCACAAGCCGATAACCATCTGGACAGCAGAAGAAATCCAGTCTCTGTTCCTTTCTGGTTTTGCACAGCAAAAACAAGTACAATGAAGAGGGGCCAATGGGGTAATTTACACCTTGAAGTAGCCAGTAAACTTGTTTAGGTATGTTCAAGCACTTACACATGTAGACACATGCACACGCACACAGCAGAATGTATAGGTCTGTTGAAGAGAAGTTTAAGCTGATGGCCTCTAAAGAGTTCACTCCTTTTGACAGTGAGCCCCCCCAGGAAACTTAAGCATGGTCAGACTTTGAGGTTGGAAAAACAGAGTGCTCTGCTCACCTAGTATAGCCCTCTGCACATAAAACTACACAGCCAGCAATATTTGCATCTGACCACAAACTTCTGGCAGGGTTACAACTTTGTTTTTTGAAGAGATGTAGCCACCCTTGAATCTTGCAAAGCACTCATATTCAGCATCTCCTTCTTTGCTTTGGAAGACAGGGTATGTGTTTTACAGTATGAGTTGCTACGTACAGTGCATGTAACAGATACACCTAAAATGTGAAGTATAATGTACCGTAGGCTGTTTTCACCTTGACTCATTTTGGAACAATGTGAAGACACAAATCCAATGCAAAGTGTGATGTACAGTACCACTGAGAGCTGCTGTTCCATTTTAGTTTCGATATGAGGATGCAGCCACACGACAGCATGCATGATGGAAACAGCATTCGCAGTAAGTTTTGTCTAACTTTGTTCCACTTCGGCTGGGCACTCCATCCTTATGCCTGCCGCCTGGCAGACAGGATGATGAAGAGAGAAGAGGGTAAAGACAGATCTCTCATTTATCCCTGCTTTCTGCAGGACTGGCAGAATTGTTCTCACTCCCACATCGAAAACTACTTAGTTGGGCAAACAGCAAAGGGGCCAGCGCATGCAAATCAGCAGCTGGTTTCCAAACACCCAGGGACAGATGCACCATCACTGGCAGCATCAGGCAGGCCAGCTCTGACTACAGGACAGTACTTGAG